GGTAATTAGCGTTGCGAAAATTTCCATGTTCGAGTTGCGAATTTCGCGAATTTGGAAATTGTGTTGCAAAATTGGAGTTAGTGTTGTGAAATTAGAGTTCGTGTTGCGAATTTGAAATCACGTTGCGATTTTGTTGGTTATTTTTGCAAATCCAAAAAAAGTTGGTTAAAATCGTATATTATAAAACATTTTCGGTCACTGAAGTTATTTTCTCTTTATATAAAGTTACATGATATTAAATTCAGGTGATGTAGAGAAGAAATGAAATATGCAAAATATCAATTAATCTTAGCTAAAGAATGGTAATTAGCGGCGTTTGTATCAAAAAACGCCGCTAGAGATTTGACATTTTCCGGCGTTTGTATCCAAAAACGCCACTATAGATCTGACTTTTTGTGGCGTTTGTATCCAAAAACGCTGCTATAGATCTGGTCCTTTGCGGCATTTGTTGCAAAAACGCCGCTATAGATCTTGACCTTTTGGGGCGTTGGTATCCAAAAATGCTGCTATAGATCTGATATTTTGCGGCGTTTGTTTTAAAAACGACGCTATAGATCTTGACTTTTTGCGGCATTTTTATTTTACAAACGCCGCTAACATTAGCGGCGATGGTATTGCCGGCGCTTCTTGCGGCGTTTTTTCCATCGCCGCGAGTGCTTTTAGCAGCACTTAAAAACGCCGCTATAGAACTAAAAAAGTGTCGCTAAAACTCTATTTTGTTGTAGTTAATCAAACACTGTAATCTTGCATTCCTGCTAAACGAACCAAACACAACAATGCAACATTTCCAGTAATGTGTTAGGTAATGTTACATTCCGGTAATCCTATTCATGCCGGTAATCTTACATTTCGTGAACCAAACGTACCCTATATGTCTGCCCTGCCACCAAATGCTGCCTTAACTATTTTTATATATACATATATATTAACTATTATACTTTGATTGATATACGAACTCTTAGAAACGATATTTGTTAACTAAAGCTGATAAAGGCAACCATGTATGTCGTCACATACCCACGATTGCTGTCCGCTTTGGATTCTTTCTTCTTTTTGAGAAATTTTACGTAATGAACATACGGAATAGTAAAATAAAGAAGAAGAAAAGATGTTTAATTAACTTACATTATTGAATCTTTTGTTATAAATATAGAAATAAAAGTGGTTTGTTATGTCGCATGGATGATGTTTTGGATAATGTATAGTGTCAATCAGCAATTCCTGGAATTCATTTAAAGCAATCGGATGCGAGTTGAACGCGACCAATGGAATACCAACACAAGGTCTTTTAATGTAGGGTAGATTACAAATTTTATCACTAAACTTTACTCTCTATCATATTTTGTTCACTGGATTTAATACATTTAATTTTTTTTGTTACTCCGCCGTTAAATAGTTAGCAGCATTAAAATGACGTCATTTAAAAAAAATCCACCAAAACGACGTTGTTTTAAATCTATATAACAGTCTATTTATAACGTCGTTAATGAGAAAACAACCGAGTGAACGAGCCCCGGAAAAAAATGTGATGGATATTTAGGTCATAAACAAAGTCGTGAACTTATCTTGGTATTAATTTCAGTGAGAAAATAAAATGATTTAAAGTACAACGAGTGAAATAGGAGAAAGAGTAAAATTCAGTTACCAATTTTGTAATTTACCCTTTAATGTATTATAACTTTGAACTTTTGTAGTTGCTGATGTTTATCTTAAAAAAATTATTTTATCATTTTCTAATTTATTTTACATATATAAATAATGTCTTTTTTATTTTGTTTAATTAATCTTTTTCTCTTTATATGAGATGGTGAATGATTTTGCATCTTGTAGTTACACTTTTTTTTTTCTCAAAGTTAAATTTTACGTCGTCACCCTGATGATTTTTTTACATATATAAATAATGATTTTTTTATTTTATTGATATATTTCTACTTTAAACACTAAAATTAATTTTTTATTAATAAATGTTATCGCAATTGAGTTGTAAAATAGTTAGTTTATCAACACGGTATCGTTGTTAATTTATTATATATGTTTTTATGTAAGTGCCGGTCATGTTTACCTCTCGTATCTTTCATTTTTCTAAATTATTTAATTAAATTTTTAATCATTTATTTATATAATTACATTTTATTTTTTAATGATTAATTTGAATACTTTGTTGATTTCAGGAGAAATAATAAACTGATGTAATTTAATCTGCTCTACTTTTATAACCTCTTGTTATAACTTTATTATATTTACTCGTTATTCAATAAAATTAATGATTATTATTAATTAAAAATAAATAAATAAATATTAAACATCACTAACAATGCATTTGTGAAAAGCAGCAGTGATTGAAGTTTCTGGGTGGGTGGACCAGCAGTGAGATTAGGGATAGGAAGGGGTTTGCCTCAAATTTTGTTTAGTTTTATTTGAATTTTATAAAATTATAAGAGAAATATATTATGTTGTAATTAAAAATATGTCGAAATTTTATAAGGAAATACGAATCTCTCCTAATCATGGTGCTGAGCTCGATTCTAGACCGTTGGATGAGCTACATCAAACAAGAGAATTACATGTTCAAGTGCGATTACACCTCAGGAAAAAGAAATAGTAATAAAGAAATAATGGCTTTTGGATCCCTTAAAAACAGATCAGACGGGGGCAAGTGCGATACCCAACCCGACATTATTCAAATCCGACTCGACCCGACATTATTCAAATCCGACTCGACCCGATACGAACTTAGTCGGGTTTCGGGTTTCCCTATCGGATTCGGGTCGTTTTGCCATTCCTACACCCATCATATAATCCAATATTAGTCTTGGGCATTTTCATGATTATTAAGGTTATTAATAGGCTAACATAAGATCACGGCACCGCTCCAAGACCGTCTTAGTTTAATTAATTGCATATAAAACAAAATTTACATTCAAAATCTTAAATACTCATACGTGTTCAAACATATATCGTTGCATTCATTACATTGTTTTTTGGATTTATACGACTCTATGCTTCTACTTAAAGAATATATTTATATTGTTTTCTACCACAGATTGTACTATACGGTGATGGATCGAAGGAAGCCATTAAGGATAATTTGAGGATGCGGTTAGGATAATTGTTACATGAAGATTTCAAATTATTATATTATTTCTATGAATAATTTATTTTTATCTCGTTTTTATCCTTTTTACAATATTAGAAGTTCGCTTCAAATAGAAAATTCGGTGTCCGTTCTCAAGAGCAATCAGAGGTGGTCGTCCCTTAAAAATATCGATTTCTCTCATATTTTAAATATATTTTTTTCTCATAAAATTTTATAAACGAGTAACTTTTAAAATATTATTAATATGTCTTCTAATAATTATATTGTTGTCCTAGTATTATATATTCTTATTTTGTGGGGTTTTGGAGTTGCTAATTGTGGAAATGTATGTCCAAGTTGTGGAGATGGATGAGTAAATTGCATGGCAAGCTCTAATGTGACTAGGGATGGGGTTGGGTTTTTGGTCCACCCGACCCGATACAAGAATAAGAAGTTTTCCACCCGAGACCCGACCCGACCCGATCAAAACAAGTTTTCATCCGATCCGATATATAACTTAAAAATCCTACCCGATTCGACCCGACCCGAAATAACAAAAAAATATTTTTATTCAATAAAAACAGTGACTTAATTGAAAAAAAATAATATATAGAGATGTATTATTGTAATTATTCCTAAATATATAAAGTAAATTTATATATTTTTTCGGGTCGGGTATTTCTCACCCTAAACCCGACCCGAACAACACATTAAAAAAAACATGACCCGATCCGAACCCGATTTTTTTTTTAAAAATCTGACCTAATCAGATCGGGTCGAATCTCGTCGGGTTCAGGTCCATGCCCATCCCTAAATGTGACCCCGTAAAGTGTGAGTTGTAAACTTTAAGAACCACATGGTGGGTGACACATCATAAAGGGAACATTGTAGGACTCAATCATGGGAGAATTGGTGTAATATTACACGTACTAGAAAAAAAAATATGTAAGGTTAACTATGTGACAAGTAGGGGGGATTAATTAGGTAGAGATTAGGGGTGCTTGCATTAATTGAAGATCAACCGTCCTATTTGGGATAATTAGGGCAACTGGCTATTAGGGATGGGAGCTTATTTGGAAGTTTAATTGCCAAAAGCTCTTTACCTATTTGTGACGAGTGATTCTAAAAACTCACAACATTCCTTTTAATATTGGCCATACATTAAAAATCAAATTATGACTGTATCTATCAAATTAAAAATCAATGATTTACTCTATTAAAAAAATAAGTGATTTATCGATTTTATAGGGTTGTGTTAGTCATAAATTAAATTAGTTTGTTCAGTCTGATTAATATGTTGGAATAGATTATTAGTCGAACCAATAAATAACCAATTATATATACATATTTAAATTTTATGAATTTAGAAATAAAATCTTAAAATATGACGATCAATATGAACTGAGTCAGTTAATCGAATACACAAAATAGATTGATGTTTACCCAATACTTGTGTTTAAAAATCAAATTTTATGTGAATCAAGAATGTCTTACATCTTTCTATTTAATGCTATAAACAGAAATTAATCTTATCGAAATGAATAGAACTCTTATCAAATATTTAATACTATTACATTCTTAGAGTTTTGAACTCCAAACATTAATTAAATTAGAACAAGATTAAGAGTTAGATTTTAATAAAATTGATTTGTAATAATCATATCTTCAAAATTATGAATTTGATAAATGAATTTGTTTTTATTAGAAGAAATGGAATTGTAAATATGTTTAAATACAAAATCAAACGTGACCACATCTTCGTTGTCCTTTCCTCCTCCGCACTCACCTTTCCCATGGCTATAAATATGAACCCCGAGATCGCTTCGTAAATCGTGGGATTAAGAGTAAAGAGCTAGAGCTTCACTTTGCTAACAACACGTACTCTCTCTTTTAGAGGGATTCAGAGAGAAAAATATACTACACTGCTTATACACACACATACATATATACATCATCATGGCTCTTCACCTCACTTGGGTTTTCGTTTTTGGCATTTTAGGAAACGCTGTTTCATTCATGGTCTCCTTGGCTCCACTGTGAGTTTTCTTCTCAAACGCTTTCTTTCTTTTTACTATTGTTTTAGTGAGAATTTGTGTTATCAATGGAGGATTATTTCCAGGCCTACATTTTATCAAATATACAAGAAGAAGACATCGGAAGGTTTCCAGTCGATTCCCTACGTGGTTTCGCTCTTCAGCGCGATGCTTTGGATTTACTATGCACTGCTTAAGAAAGATGCTATGTTCCTCATCACCATCAACACGTTCAACGTTTTCATTCAAATTTTTTACATTGTTACTTACTTTTACTATGGCCCCAAGAAGGAAAAGGTATCATCTCGTCATCCATATCTACTGCTTCAACATATACATTTACACACACACATATATATATAATCATATATGTGTATATCTATGAAATAATTCAAATATGAGGAAATGGGTGAATTGCAGATTGTGACAGTGAAGCTTATGCTTCTCTTCAATGTTTTCGGATTCGGAGTTATCTTTCTCTCAACTTTCTTCCTATCAAACCCTTCCATTCGTCTCCTAGTGTTGGGTTACATTTGCATGGCATTCGCTCTGGCAGTGTTCGCAGCACCTCTCGCAATTGTGGTGAGGATCACTGATAACTTTTTAACTGATTAACGTGTTATCATCTAATTTAATTACTGACAATATATAAAAATAATTTAATTTTTGATCCCTCTTATTGCAGAGAAAAGTGATTAAAACGAAGAGCGTGGAGTACATGCCATTTACTTTATCAGTGTTCCTTACCTTAGGAGCTGTCATGTGGTTCTTATATGGCCTTTTCTTAAAAGACATGAACATTGCCGTACGTTATCTCATTAAACTACAACGAAATGAATTTACTTGGACATAAACTCTTCCTCTCTTCTAATTTCTAACGATGAATTCCAAATATTTTGAATCAACAGGTTCCGAACATTCTGGGGTTCATCTTTGGTGTTCTTCAAATGATACTTTACGCAGTTTACAGAAACCATCCCAAGAAAACAGTGGAAGAATCCGATCCAAAGCTTCAATTATCCGACCACTCAGTCATCGTCGATGCCTCCAAGCTCGGCTCCGATGTATCGAACAACAATGGAAGGGATGATGCTTTGAACAAAGTTTAAAAAAATTAATTACATATTGTGGGTGCTATTTATGAAAAGCGGTTTCCACTTGGAGATGTCTTAAGCTTACGTGTTTACTTTGATTTTGCATGGGAAAATCTGGGATGAAGTTAACCCATGCAAAAACGATAACTTTTTTTTTTATTTTAAATAATGTCGTTTAATTTCTTTTTCCTTCCAGTCAACATCGTGAAATCTTTGTCTCTCCATTTCCTCATCTCATATGTATTCTGCAATTAGTTTCACATTTACTCTTTCATAAATGAAACGTCTATATTTCATAATTATCATCTTCAGATCTTTCATCGGATAATTTTAAAATATTATCATATATGTAATATTAAAATAAAAAAGAATTATGTGTACTTTCAGTTCCAGAAGCACCCCAACCACCAGTATTACCGCTTCCACTTTCGGTTGCAGCACCCCAACCAGTATTACGGTCTCCCTTTCCAGTTCCACTTCCACTTCCAGAACTTGATCGTGTCTTGTGATTTGGATCTCATCACCCCAGGTTGTTTTGGTTTGTATTTATTATGGTGCAGTTTCCTGGTAGGTTTCTGATCGTTCCCTGGTAAGGTACAGTTTCAAGAGATCGAGAGTTGGTTTCATGGTCAAGCTGTGTTTGATGTTTGACTTGAGTAAAGTTTGTGTCTAGAAGGTTGTTTTTTGTTGTTGCACTCCACCAGTTTGTGTGTGTTTTTGGAAAATATCCCAAGGGCATTACATTGGAAGGGTCTATGGTTCATATTTGCTCGATATGGGAATGTTGTTGGTGCATTCATTGCAAATAAGCTAAGTAGAAGAGGTAAGTGGTTTGGTTTTGTTAGGTTTGGAAGCAAGGTAGAGGCAGAACGTGGTATGGAGAAGCTTAACGGTTTTGTTCTAAATGGTTTCAAATTATCGGTTCAGTTTGAAAAGTCTAGAGGATTTTCAAGAGTGGGAGGTCTAAGAAATGCAGACAGAGAGACAAGGAAATGGGGGGTTTCAATCAAGCAAAGTCATCAAAGGAGGCCTCTCAAAGGAACTTGTACCAAGAGCAGGAACAAATTAGTAATTTTTAGGTTAAAAATAAAGAAGGGGTAAGATTGGGAAGAAATGAGGTGAGTTCAGTGAAACGAATAAAAGGCTTTGTAGAGAAGAAGGTCTTGTTGAAATTGAAAAGATGCCTGGTGGGAAAGATGTCAACGGTTTGCAGCGTGAGGGAGATTAGTTTTCGTTTGCAGAAATGGGGAATGGAGAGCATCAAAGTCCAACATATCATAGGTAAATCCTTTCTATTAAGCTTTGAAGATGATGAATTGTTCATGATGCTAGAAGACTTGAATTGGTCATATCTCAAAAAAAATCTTCTCGAAGGTCGAGCTCTGGTCAGAATCGTTAGATAACTCAGAGAGGGCGACCTGGATTAAGGTCTCGTGTATCCCATTGCAATGTTGAAATCATATTACCCTTAAAAGGGTGGCGAAGTTATGGGGTAATTTTGAATCTTTAGGTGAGAATACAGATCACTCCATTGATTGTGAGAACGTAACGATTCTGATAACTACAAACCAAGATAAGAGGATCGATGAAACAGTGGAGATAGAAATTGGAAACTATATTCACTTGATTCAATTATTGGAAATCGACATTTCGGATGATGTTGGAACATCAAATCAATGGGGAATCGTACAATAATTGAAGGGAGGTTCGAATGATCATAAGGAGGAATTCCAGATGAGCTCAACAAAAGAGGATAACTTTGGCGCGTCTTCGACTGAGGTTGAGATAACTGAAGAGGTGAGGGATGTTGTATTAACTACGTGTTGCTTTGGGAATGAATTCAATATAAATGACGATCCTCATTTACCAGAGAAAACACGCCTTCTGAATGAATCATAATTAAGTGGTGGATGAGGTATTTTGGTGGCTCAGGATCCTTCTCGTACTGATGGTAACTGTGAATCAATAAAGAGGTCAAATAGTGACGATAGAATTGGGTTGGCTAGGTTAGATTCAAGATAGGTCGAAGAAGTGATTGTTTTTGAAGATGGGCTTTCAACTGAAAATCTTGGCTACAAAAACCGTTTCAAGTCTGGTGGGGAGATGGGTTGTCCTTTTGATGTTGATGCTAAAAGAGTTGAAGGATCAATAGGAAGGTTAAAGTTTCTCTTGAGGAGCACGTTGAAAACAATCGAGAAGCTAGCAAGAAGGTCGATAGTAGTGTGTTGAAAAATGGAGATGTTGGTTTCAATATGGGTAGCAGTACTGATTCTCCTGCAACTAATGAAGTTCTTAATCACTTACGGAATCTAAAAGAAGTGGTAGAATATATTTTCAGTTGCTAGTTTAGTTGAGCCGAAAGATATAAACAAACTTAAGGGGAAATTAGAGAAACAAAAAGAATTGGTAGAATATATCAAATTGAGTGCTCTTAAGGACATAAAAGGGCGGGATGATTTTGTGACTGTTGATTTGGACAATTTCTTTCCAGAAGTAGACCAGTTGAGAAAATCCAAAAAATAAAAAAAGTATGGATCCCTTTTGAAACTACAAAATCAAATTATATCGGTTCCAAGTAGAAGAAAAAGGGATCAAGAGTTCAAGAAGCTCAAATTGAAGATAAAAGATTTGGAGTCCTCTAAGTTATAAGGAAGGTCGTTATCTAATTCAAATTTAAAAGGTAGATGGTTGGTTGCGTATAAAGAAGCTGAGAAAACTTTGGAGTTAGGAAAAAGCCTAGGTATCCAAATATTCGGCGAGGAGCTATAACATAAATCAAACAAAGTAGCTACAAACGATCTAGATATGGTGAACTGGAAGTGCAAGAGAGAAGAAGAGAATAAGGTACGAAGACAGTGATATTTCAGAATGTAAAGTAGAAAGATACAATGATTTAGGAAAATAAGAAAATACTCATTCTAATTCTAAATAGTGGACATGCCCACTATATATATAGATAAGTCCATCTAACTAGCCCAACTGACTAGAAATTTGTTACAACGGATTTAACAAGAATAGTTACAACAACGCTATAAAAGCAGTTACAGCAACAGCTATAAACTGATATATGATATACTAATATTCTCCTGGTTTTCTTATGATCTGAACTGCCACTTCAACATTTTCCTGGCTTCTTCAGACTTGCTTCTCATGACTGATGTTGTTGATTTCTGCCCAAGACTTAACACCAAGACATGAGCGCATATCACTAAACACAGCAAGTGACAACGACTTGGTGAGTATGTCAGCAACTTGTTCTGCAGAAGGAACAAAGTTTACACTAAGTTGTTCAGCCAATACTCTTTCCCTCACAAACTGTATATCAATTTCCACATGCTTTATTCAAGCATGGTGTGTAGGATTTGTTGCCATAGAAATTGTAAAGGAGTATTCACACCATACAACTGGCTTTCCAGTTATACTAATTCCAATTGCATCAAGTAATTATTCAATCCAAATCAATTCAGAAACATAATTAGCAAGGCTTCTATACTCTGCCTCTGAAGTGGACCTAGAAACAACACTTTGTTTCTTAGAACACCATGCAATTGGATTACCTCCAAGATATACACAATAGCCTGTATTGGATCTTCTGTCTTCCACCGAGGCTGCCCAGTCTGCATCAGTGTAGCAGACTAAACTGAAAATGCCAGTTTGTGAGAAAAATAACCCATGCTCAATTGTCCCACTGAGGTATCTCAATATACGTTTCACTGCCCTCCAGTGAGTATCACACGAACTGTTCATGTACTGACTAACCTTGTTAACAGCATAGGCTATGTCAGGTCTTGTTAAACATAGATAATGCAAACTGTTGAAAACATTTTAATATTTCTATATAACAAATTAAGATAAATGAATTTTAAGATTTTCCAAAAATATTTTCTAAGTATATTCGATATAATTATTCGAATAACAAAATATTACTCCAAATCTTTCAAAAGTTATTTTTAATCCTTACTTAAGTGTAAAATTAAATTTTAATCTTAAAATTGTTTCAAAATAATTTTACAAAGTATTTCGAACCGTTTCAAAGCTAAAAATTCCATAATGTCCAGAGGGAACCGATTCCCCCCCAAGGGGGTACCGATTCCCCCTTGCTTAACGGATGAAATATTTGAATTTTACACTTAGGGAACCGATTCCCCCCACGCTCCAAGCTGTTTTATTAATTGATTTCACACTAAAACAACTCTATTGAATCCACTAATCATCCCCAACGTTCAGAATCATTTGAAGGTGTATTTAAACAAGCTTAGAAGCCATTGATCAACAACAAGAAACAACAATCAACAAGAATCAAGAGAGAATCAAAGAGAAAGTATCAAACCTCAAGTTTGAGCATTTTCAAGTCTATTTAATTCAATATTCATTTTTGCTTTCAAGAACACTTATTGTGCTCAATTGTATTATTCTTGAGTGTTCTTTCTTTGTTCTATAATTGTGAAAACATCTTGCCTTGTGAGGATTTTCTTGTAAGTTTGCAAAATTTGTATTGTTCTCTTTGGGAGAGAGTGTTCTCAAGAATTTGGGGTATAATTCTTGAGGGATTTGTAAGGTTACTCTTTTCCCTCAAAAGAAAGACAAATTAGTGAATTTGTGGAAAATCCTTAGTGTGGATAGCTAAGGTAGTGGACGTATACTTTGGTTGAGAAAGTCGAACCACTCTAAATCGTTGTGCAATTACTTTCAATTTTCTGCAAAAGCTTCCACCAAAATTTTAATTGCCAATTCACCCCCCTCTTGGCCGATTCCATCGATCAATTAACTCAACACAAACCTCCCACAATACTGCGATAGAGATGAACATCACCAAACAACTTTCTATTATTTGCCTTGAGTTTAGGAGTAAGGACCATAGGAGTGAGAGTTGGAGTTGACTCATATAAGTTTGACCTCTTTAACAACTCAGAAACATACTTCTTCTGATTTAAAAACAAGCCTCTTGGAGAGTGTTCAACTTGTATTCCAAGAAATAATTCCAACTGTCCCATGTCCTTAAGATATAATTCTACGTTAATTGCTTGCACTATGGCATCCACTTCTATCACCCAATTTCCTGTGATGACTATATCATCTACATACACCATTAATAATACTTGAGAACATGTTGAGTTTCTTATAAACAGGGAAGAATCAACCTTCAAAACATCA